GATATGGGAAGGAGAATACATACAGGTACTACTCCTAAGGGTCTGTTTCACAATCGATGAGTAAAGTTCTAGTAAGCTACTTTGAAAATATATGTGCGGTTACATCGCTATACTATATAGATTACAGCTTAAAACTCAAAGCATGATATGGCGCTCCATACATTTACATAGAACACATTCACACCATGCTATACTTACTTACAAACGGATTTGGATGAAATTTGATACGTATGTAGTGGTATCCCCCAGCGCTCTTCATCTGAATAATACTTGAAACTATAAGTATATCTTTATTTTTAAAAATATATTTTATTTCGTAAAATTACGAAATAAATTTCGTGAGATGATAAAATTTTAGAATCAACGACGTTGTCTTTTTAAGGAATTTTCTGATCTTATTCTTGCTATAATTTCTTTTAAAATGTTTAATATTTATTCTGCTACGTGTATCGGCCGACTTAGTATTATAAGTTTCAACGGTCTGTAGCAAAAAAATATGTGTCTACAATTGAGCAATAATTAAAAAAAAAATGGTTGCCTGTAAAGTCGGTTTTACGGGCGAAGATTTTACGTGACAACGTCTTTTTCTCGGTAGAATATTTATTGATATGAATATAATTAAATTGCACAATAGGAACAAGGAATTGAATGAAAATAAGAATTGCACAAATTTTAACTATAGAAATATATTTTGTTTACTAAAACATTGTACATGTAAACTTAAACTTAACACGAGAGACTCATCGTAACGTTACCGAGCGTTACACTTTTTCCTAATTTAAGACGTTGTCACGTCAAAAAAAAAATATGTGTATTCCATTTTCACATACCTATTTATGATGAAAATGTTCACTATTAAAGTTTTCATAAGAACCGCGAACATATCCTGTACCTCGATACTGGAACAGTAGAAGCCATAATGTAAATCAATTCTTGTTTAAAATGACTGGGCCAAGCCGACATAATCCCTCAGAGCATTACGACTCAGCCCTGGGGCCAGCAGTAAATTACTTGACCCGACTCGATAATAGATGGCGCTGGTACGCCCCTCGAGTATCATCCCGAATACAAGTGCTGAAAGGATTTTGCAGTTAAGGAGCTATAATTTTTACCAAAACGCTAGGTGTCGTTTCAAAAGCCTGCTTAATGGTTTTAGTTCGTAGTCATAAAGTCGGACCCTTATAAATTAAGCTCATTGCCTATTGTGAGATTGGTCTCGTTTTAGCTTCAAAAAGGTAAAGCATGGTCTAATTTTTCTAATCTAAAATATAATATGCATAGAAACTATATGCAAAGACCGGCATCGCATTTTTTCTGTGGCTTTCTCCGTTTTACATTGAAATTGCACCAATGTCCAGTAGTGGGAGAGACACGACAAAGACTGCTCGGTAGAAACAGATTATGGCGGTATAAAGTCTATAAATAAATAACCGAATATCCGTTCTTCCTTGAGCTTTTCACTTTTATTGATACTCCTGGTGTTGCATGTGTCTATGTGCCCCGGTGATCACATTCCATCAGGTGAGCCGATGTCGAACCTGTATATAATCCATGCACACACATAAAAGTAACATATCGTCCGAATGGAGAACTACCTCCTCTTTTAGGTCCGTTAAAAATACCATATCTTTTGTTGTTGATAAGCTTATCATAGTAAAATTGCAATCTTAATTCTGTAGTAGTGGAATGGAACTAAAATAAACTATCAAGTTGACCCATTAAAAGGCAGTGTGTTCAGTCAGCTATTAACTACTAATACATATATGCATCTCTTTTGTTGGTGTGGGAGAACCGAGTAAGTAACATCAATGTTCTTCAGTAGGTGCTAAAGACTAGTGTTCCAGCAACCAAGGCCCTTAGCAAATTATCACCAACGATATTAAATACCCTAGATACAACAACATGAACAAAATCGTGGCCAAAACATGTCCAAAAGGTACATTGGACGATCCACAGAGCTCCATAAGATGATCGCGTAGTGAAAAACAATATAAGGCATTATTTAAACATTGAAAGTCACCTTTAATGCATACTGAATGAGGTCTTAATTAAAAAGCATGCGTCAAAAAGTAATGACAGTTCGAAATGCAAGCTCGTCAAATTTTACGACTTTTTGCTATATGCGAAAGAATATAGACCTTATTTTATCCTACGTGCAATTCTGAATGCACTGTTAGCAAAATAGCAGGTACGGACCGCGAGGAAATGAGATGGCTATATTACCGACCATGCATTTGAATATCACAAATATTTTCTATTAAATCAGCCTAGAGTGAGTATTAGAACAAATTTGCTCCAAATGCGTTAAATTAGCAAACATTGATTGAATTAAAAAACGACACTTTACGTACTATAGGTATTTTTTTCGCATTTTTTCACTGAGATGTGCGCCATCTTGATAATGGTTTTAATGGTCCGGGCGTGACTGTGAACCAAGAAGTGCTTGAGTGGTGTTCAAGCACTTCTTAATTGGGACACATTTGAAGCGCACGTGATGTATTTAATATCGTTGATTGTCACCCATCTGGCGACCGACTTCCGTAAAAGTCAATTCACGATCACAATCAAGAATCGAACGTACTAACTACGGCACCGTCGAGTTTTATATCTATATACGCTAAACATCTGTTTAGTAGAGTTCTAATACTATGTTACTCCTGAACTTTGCAAAGTTCCCTGATATTTTGAAAGACGATTAGGTCTCTCGGAAATTATTTGAATTCTAAAAGTTGGTTGCGTTTGAGTATTCCGCTGGTTATATAACAAGATATAGCAATGATGAACCAACCATTTCTGGCTAATAATACTTATATTTCAAAACAATATTTCGTTGGGATCGAGGCTTTCATACAAATTTCTAATTTAATTATAACTTTCTCTCGTAGTTGAATCTTAATATATAAATGAGTATTAGTTTCTGAGGTTTCCACGAACACCACTCATTAAATTAAACAAGCTTCAACTGTATAGATGCACTAATTTATTTATTTATTGACGCTTCGCATCCTTTTCAGGATGCGTCGTCTGAAACGACGACGTACTGACTGAATTCAGACGACGCATCCAGAAAAGGATGCGAAACGTCAATAAATAAATAGACCAGTGCATATCTACCGTTGAGACTTCATTTATTTATATAAATGAGGTTAAAACAGAGTTCAACTAGAGGGCAAAGATAAAAAAATATATAATGCCAAACTCCAAGACAAATTCAAGATAACGGACTAAATTAATGAGCCCCTAATTCTAAACAAATTAACATTAGCAACAAACGTTAACTTGAAGAAGACCGTTCGCATTAAAAAGGCTGTATTTAATCGTAATTACAAAGCAATTATTTCATTACGCATTTAAAATTCCAAGCATAACGCGAAACGTCCTTTTAAATACGACATTGCACTCGGGAAAAGGCCGAAACACAAAAGCCGTTACAGGTTTTGAATTTTTAAGCAAACAATTTGTGCTATAACGTAGTTATCGTCATACTTATACCTACTTTAATCATTTATTGCGTGACTTTAAAAAAAAAGCCTCACCCAAAACGACGTTACTTTAACAATTTTCCCCTGTTCCATATATCCCTACTGACATATCTCCACTAGTACGGGTACTTAGTTTTTTTTCCATTTATCGCTACCAGTAGGGATAACTTTTCAATGGTTATTTGATTTTTTTCAGATCTTAAGATAAAAACACATGTTGACGAAAACATAAGTGGGAGTTATTTATAACATAATTCCAACTAAATGATATTAATCATTGCCCGTGTTCCACGTGAATATTGAATGATAGGTACAAGTTACATTATAAATTAAATAATTAATTCCTTTTTAATAGATTAGAGATCAGGTATACCAAATACATACAAAATTTTATAGCTATTAACGGGATTGTTGCCATGTACCTTGTTTTTTATGTGCAAAAACCGCATAAATCAAAAAAGTGTCGTTCCACGATCTGATACTGTGAGTATTGTGTAACGGGAAAGGGTGCGAGTGAATAGTGAGAATATGACCAGTGGTAGAGGTGTCGAGCGCAGTCAAAGACAATTTCAGAGGGTAGACCGATATGTCTACCAATAACATCTACCCGCAATTCACAAACACACACACACTCTCACATACAATTATTTTTTTATTTTATTTTTTATTATTGTGTTTTTAGTTGTTTCTTAAGCACTTCTCATATTAATTAATACATTAATCACATAAATAGTTCATAGGTGGCTTACTCTGTTCATGTAGTTCTGGGAGTGGAGGCCTGGTGTCTTGTAGAGCAGGTTTATCCTATTGCAAGCACCAGTCTTCACATAAAGTAATGAAATATTGTAATTAAGCACTTTATTGTAAATGTTTCTTGTTTCTACTTATGTGAACAAATAAATAAAGAATTGATTGATTTATTATTATTATTTAATTACTTCAGTTACTCCGTGATCATGGCGCTTGCAACAGTGCAGAAATATCAGAGACTCATAAAAAACAAGGTACATGTTAACAACCCCGTTAATAGCTATAATGTTAATGACCACGAAAGTTTAAAACAATATATCATACAAAATTTGTTCATTAGCGTCATTACAAAAAAGGATTGAGAAGGTATCGGTTATTTTATACTATCACTTTAAATTTTATGTGCCTATTTCGTATGATGAACCAACTGCGACTAGATAACTGATTTTTGAGATGCAAGAAATCTTCCATAGGTATACCACTGGGACCAAAGGAAGCAAAAATTTGTCTTTGGCACAAAAGATGGTACCAGGGGCAAATTGCTGAAAATACTGTTCTCACTAGTCTACAGTAATACCCAAGAGTATCCAACCAGTGCTCATCCTGTGTGCAAATTTTTACTTCACACTAACTTTTAAAAGTTACACAAACAACAAGTAACACAAAATTTAAAATCACTAACTAAATCATCATCATCAGCCTATTAATGTCCCGACTGCTGGAGCCACAGGCCTTTTCTATGGATGGAATAGGGTGATTGGGCCATGACCAACCACGCGGGCCAAGTGCGGATTGGCGGGTGCTAATGACTGCAGACACAGTCAGAACCAACGGCTTAAGGTGCCTTCCGAAGCACGAAGGAGCTCAAGATAGTAAATTTTTTGGTCACCCCTCCAATGACCGACCACTGCGAAAGTTGCTTAACTTTAACAATCGCAATCGTACGCACTACCCACTTGCGCCATCGAGCTCCTCCCAAATTAAATAAAAAAGTATCATAATTTTCATTTGTTTTATTATCACAAACGCTCCATTCTTATCCATATAATATTAGCTAAGTACATAGTGAGATCGCTAGTTTTACAATTAGGTACTCTAGTAAAGTTATAATAATACTCCATTAGTATAATTAATCTATGTAAAATATTTTGAGACAAACTTATAACTTTTTAATCTAAATATTTAGATGTCGTTATATTTTTTTATAGTTTTTATAATAAACTTTGATATTGCTTCTCCGATTTATTATTTTGTGGAAAAGTCATGCCTAGGTTCAATAATATTCTGAAATGTGAATACATAAAAATAATATTTCCTTAATACCTACAGAAAAATAAAAATGAATGCTTCGTAATGAACACATCTTATCAATATATAGTATCATTGAGTAGTTTCATGCTAAGTATAAAATTGTTATTAATAGGCTATTTGAAAGTATGGAAATAAAATACCAATTAAAGTAAATTATAAAATTACTAAAAATCATTAAACACAAAATTATTTTTAGACCTATTGTCACGTGAAAACATGCTGACGAAGTGATATTACCTGCCTTTAAGTCGCCATATTTGCAAGCGAAACGTTTTCGCGGCTTACTTAAAAACATAATTTTTATTTTTGTGTTTGATATACGCATTAGAATTATAAATACCCACTTTTTAAATAATCACTATACATATAAACAAATAGCCTATTACCTATATTAGGTGTAAATATTTTAGGAACGATACATGAAATAACTTTCTGGATCATTTCACCGTTAATTTGATAGACTGAAAAGTGAAAGAAATCTGTCGTAAATTTTGAAATACAAAATTTTGGTCTATTTAATTTTTAGATAGAAAAAAATATTTCATCGCTGATTCTAAACGAATCTTATTAATTTAATTATTTGAAAAATTTTTTTTTTACTGGTATAGCTTTAGAATTATAAATGCCCGCTTTTTAAGGAGTCACTATGCACTAATAAATAATGTCAGAACTTTTTCAAAAAATTGTTAAATAGCCTATTACTTATATTAAGTGTAAATACTTGAAAAGTATGTAAGAAGTGATATTACCTGCCTTTAAGTCGCCATATTTGCAAGCGAAACTTTTTCGCGGCTTACTTAATAACATAATTTTTATATTTGTGTTTGATATACGCATTAGAATTATAAATACCCACTTTTATAGGAATCACTATACATATAAACAAATAGCCTATTACCTATATTAGGTGTAAATATTTTAGGAACGATACATGAAATAACTTTCTGGATCATTTCACCGTTAATTTGATAGACTGAAAAGAGAAAGAAATCTGTCGTAATTTTAAACACAAAAGTTTGGTCTATTTATTTCTAGATAGAAAAAAATGTATTTCATTGTTGATTCTTAATCAATCTTATTAATTTAATATAGGTGCCTACTCATATTATATAAATTGCTTCACCGAAAGGAGCTTTTACATTTGCTTTACCAAGCCACTGTAAAGCGATTCTGGTCGGCACTTAATACATTCTCGCAATGCTGAGTGCATTTCTATTCACGTAAACTAATTTCGGGCTATTGTTTGTTGTTTTACGGAGTAATGGACCTCCGGAGACAATAGAAAGTTGGCTTAAATATATAATGTTTTTGTTTGAGTCAAGTCGGTATACTGTATAAGCACTTAAGTTGTAATAGTTTGGGAGCTCAAATACTGCATCAAAGTAGAAATTCAATTTATTATATTATTTTATTTGCATTTGCTAAGAATTCAATCGAACTGATTTAAAATGTAATTTAACTTAAAGGAGATTGCTCAGCTTCCATACATGTTTGGCCTAAAGACCAACAATCATGTAAAAATGTTTCCTAGATTCGAAATTATATATAAATTACTGTAGAAACGAATTTTATTGACGGACACCCCTGAGAACTTCTATAAACCATATACACTGAATGATTTTGAGATTATGTTTGCGAATAGGTACATAGGTATTAAAATAATAAAAAGACAAATAAGTTATATAGTAAACTAGGGAAATCAAGCCAAGTACCGAAATTATGTATTAGATTCAGGTATATAGAGCATGTAGATTAACAAATAGTTGCCTGTATTTAAAGTTAATGCACAAGAGTAACTTTTAAGATCAGATATCATCTATGCATTTCCGGTTATAATAAGGCACTCTATGACCGAAACTGTGTGATGATTGTAAATGGGCCACAGATTATAGAGAATTTTTAAACACTCGTTAACCAAAGTAAGCTAAGAGATTTACGTTATACAGCCATATCTTCAGTAGCTTCATTATTTTTGTGATGTTTATATTATAACCATATGTTAGATTTTTAGTGTATCACACCTTATAATGTGTTTGGCGAAAATGAATGGCAATAGACTTTATGATGTCGCCTATCATCTATAATAATTGTTTTAGCACATTTGCATGTAGTGAAAATGATAATATAGTTGTGGATATTAATACCACAGTGTAATAAAAAAAGTAATTTTTAAAATGAATATATTATATAAAGGTGTTCGTTAAAATCTAATGACTGTAAAATAGAGTTTAAATTAAGTCAAGAATTACCGTATATGTCAATATTTTTTGTATATTTGGGCCAATTTGAGCAATCTCCTTTGCCGATTCACCTGTTAGATTTTTATTAAGGAAGAATCCACTTTGATAAGAATGATCACAACAGAACTTTTTTTAATAACTATTTGAGTCGACTGATAAGAAATTTCTAATTTGTTGACTGCGAACGATAAAAAATATCGATGAAAGGTTTTTGGCACTCCTAAGTAAAACCTACATACGTTAACAAACCCTCCGTAGCTAAATCCAATGAAAAACACAAGAAGGATGACAATTATTTAAAGGAACCCGCTTAAAAGTTATAAGTCTGTCTCGTTAGTTAATAGCTAAGACTAATCATTCCTGGCCTGTTCCCCGGTTTAATTGGGGATTCGCGCAATATGTATTATTCGTCCAATCTAAAAATAAGACTATTCATTATCCTAAATTGACACAAATGCACTAGTCAGTGGTAATTAGTCCGCACTCTCGAACGACCTGTTCCGCGGACACTGGGTTGAGGAACACTGAAAACGAACAATATAATTTTTAACACGCTTTTCACCCGTGCTTAAGAGTTTTGTTCAATGGTTGACGTGCGTGAAGACAATAAGGAATAAATAAAGTATGTATTATTTTTAGGTATACGAAAAGAAGACTGTAAACTAAGGCACGCCAGATAGAAAACTGCCTCATAGCTTTACGCTAGGTGCGTGATACTGATGGTGATACTGACACCAAAGTACAACTTAAACTCTCTTGAATTGTAAAGCCTTTCTGGGGAAGTAATCTCCACCTTACAGAAGACCACAGTGAAAACAATATCTTTTGATGGTGTTGTGTTTCTGCCAGTGAGTAAGGTGCCAGGGCTTCATGGGTTAGGGGCTGGGGTCAAGGTATAGGCACTTTATTGCAAATGTCTATGCTAGGGCATTTGCTTACCACCAGGGAGGACATTATGTTCGTTTGCCACCCTTGTTACATTACAACAACTCTGTTTAAGTCTAGCAATAAACGCCGAATAAATCACAGTTCGTGGCCACCACCACCGTGTTCCCTCCTTTCTACAATCTGGGGTCCTTAAGAGAGGCGTGAAGAAGCATTTTTGCAGGCCGGCAAGGTGAGGATGGTTGGTGTGGCAGTTTATAACTGCTGTACCAGCTGTCTTCGCGTTTGGACTTTATAACCACTTAACATCAGGTGGGGTAGAGTCATTTGCCTACCTGACTATATAAAAAAAGAAGGGGATCGGGTTCAGGCCGGCTTAAGTGAGGATGCCTCTAGCGGCATCTTTTTATATTTAATTTGCTTGCTTCGCCAAACACATAAATTACGTTTACCATCAGGTGGTGTAGGGTACTTTGCCGCTCCTTATATAAAAAAATACCTATATCCTAATTGCAATTCATGATAGTAGAGCTCTCTGACGAACTAACAAACGCACAAGCGAACAGCGAAAGCTTAGTGATAGGATTCCTTTGCTACCCTTTATTAGTAAAAAAAGCTTTTTTCGTGTACCGTTTTCTCGTGCTCCCATGGAATACAAACTAGGTATTCAGTTTTCCAAAATATTACAAAAACACCGTTCCCATGTTCCGGTAAGGCTTTCCATAATATCACAGAGAGACTGGTGAAAAAAAACTTACTTTTACTACCTGTGAATAGGTCTTGGTCTGGTATTATACTAGCTGCGGCGATGGCTGCCTCGTCGAGTACTATCACCTGGAAATGAAAGAGTAAAGGACGTTGAGAAAGAGATATCATCATTATCAGCGTATTAATGTCTGTACTGCTAAGGCTTCATTTACTCGTACATGTGGCTCGTAGGCGACGCCATCACAGCTGCAGCCATCGTCACCTTTGTTTGTCGACGGCATCCATTGACAAGCAGTCAATCGCAGCCGTCGAGATCTCTACGGCTGATGGCAGAAGTCAACGGTTGACGTCGACGGGACGAAGACTGCCGCCGGAAGGTGGAGACTGCTGCAGTTGTGTTGCCATCGGCTGCGAGCCCCTCGTTTATATGAAGTCGAAGGTGAAATACATGCAGAAACGCAGTGTGGCTTGCAGTGTAATAACTGCAGTTACGACTTCCAGCTAATTAATTTCTGGGTGCCAATGTTCAAATATAGTGGAAGGCGAGCCCAAGTGGGGACTTTTTTATTTACTCGAGCGCGGTAGGAAAACTTAAGTGGGGGGGGGGGGGGACCTTGCCTCCTGTGAATCCACCACACCTGAGCCCTCGACGTAGGGCCCAAAGTCTAGGACAGCAACAAAGAAATCAACAAAAGGCCACGACTATTGGTCGCATCTAAATCGTCAGTCTTTTGGAAAGAAGCTACTGGGGGGTTCATATACATCTTCTCTAATTTTCTTAAAATATTTGCATGAAGTTTTAACTTTTTATAAAAACAGTTATTTTTAATGATCCTCGAACTAGTGACGTGTCTTAATATGATCGATATTTTTATTAATCATTAAGAAAATAACTGTTTTTATAATAAGTTAAAACTTCATGCAAATATTTTAAGAAAATTAAAGAAGACTCCTTAAATGATGTACTTCAACGCCCTTCAAGCTTTATTTGTATTTTTGTAACACCCTGTATAGTGTTTCCAAGGACGGAAAATATATAATCTTCTGGTTTGCATGGTGATAGGATGGGTGGCCGTACGAAGGGATAGAATATAGAAAACGAATATTCGAGAGCGTCAGCCACTAAGAAGGTATGTTACGTGGACCCTCCAGTACCTCCTATTCAAAAGACTGACGATTTCGATGCGACCAACGGAATGGTTTTTTTTGCTGCCCTAGTCGTTCGGCTACTTTATAGTGCTCCGGTATGGTGGATTCACAGGGTGCTAGGTTTCCCCCTTAAGTTATTCTATCGCGCTCAAGTAAATCAAAACATATCCCCTTGGGCTCTCCTACTATTGTAAATTTACTTCAATTACACAATCGTAGACTAACCGTGCTAAATACAAGCGCTCTTGAGCTGTTAACAGATTAAAAACCACTTGAGGTCCATAAGAAATAATAAACATTCCGATCGAAACTAAAATTACTATTTACTGTTGAGTCCACGACGACAATGGAGTTATTTGCTTTATGAATATAGCTCTTATTGCTTAGTAAAATAAGAGCTGTCCTTACCAAAATATGGCCTTACAGTTGATTTGTTAGCCTTTTTAGGCCTAACAAAATTTGAACACAAAAACTTTGGAAGAGTACCCTCGCGTGGGCTCAGTCTAAATTGATAATCATCATACATAGGCGGCCGGTACAAAAAGTATTTTAATAAAGCTCAGTACCCTTATCACGAACCATTATCGAATTCGAATAGCTTGCGAGTCCGAAATGTCATTGACGCTGTAATGTACTCGCACGCTGGCTTACAGTCCAGCGTTAAAACTATCGGAACTATACACCCGCTTCCCGTAGATCGTCAACTCGTTTCTAGCAGTACTCGCTTCTCGTTCATCGATAACAGGGGGACAAATTATCCTGTCGTTTGAAATTATACGCTTTTTAACTGATATCATATAATCTTCTTTATATTAAAGACAGTTGAGTAAAGTGGATATTAACATGTAAAACAGCAAGGCAAGCATAATTATTATAATCTCTACATCTACATCTTCTACCACTACACGTTTCCTTCGTTTTACCTAGCAGTATAATTATCTTAGTGGTCATACCTTAGGACACGGTATTATCCTGGCCTCCTGCAAGGGCTCCAGTGCAATTCCCTCATCCTCGAAGGTAATGTTTCTCAAGGGTAGTAGATCGATAGCGTTTGCGGCCAAAGACCATAGGTGGCCAGCCCCCTGCGGCGCACGAGCTCCTTTCCGAAAATGAGGATTGATCGACAAGTTGTGTCTTACGGAGTTCTTCCAGCGTTCATCGTTCGCTTTGTAGAAGGGGAAACGGTCTCTGGAATAAATATGAAAATATATTACACTTCTACATTTTAAGAACTTTCGAAACAAATCAAAAAAATATGGAATCAGAATTTTATTTGTGAAACATAGGTTAGTGTTTAGTTGGTAGGTATAATATACATTTTTTATTAGTATCACAACACTTTCACCTTAAATAAGGTATACAAATAGACATGGACCTGAAACAGGTACTAATACTTTTGGTTTCATACATTAAAATCACAATTTATGAATATAATTTCAAATAATCTATTGTTACATGCATGTCAAAGAGGATTATAAACAAATTATAAAGGACAATGTTAAAATTGGCCTAAGAACCAACACCAATTTGGAATTTATGATAATTCTTAGTATATTTTTTGCGATAATTATCAGTATTTAGATTGTGACGGACACTTTCAGTTAAGTAAGCTAAATTAAAAAGTTAATAAATAATCTGAGACAATATATACCATTTTATGTGTATATAATCTATGACAGCGCTGCAAACAAAAACATTTTCTTCCTAATGGCGGCACTTCACTTGGCTATTCGTATTTGCTATTTAAAAACATGATATCAGTGTGTCCTTTTCATTTCTTATTAAGCATGACAAGGACAAACTCCTGTCAAGTGAAGGGCCGGCATAAACTCGATACTCTGTGGTTGTGGTGCAGGCAGTTTGCATTCGTAGTAATCTGTGGCATTCGTGCATTCTCGTCAAAGAGTACTTTTTATATACGGAAAATTCTCGCTCGGATTACCTGTTGTGTGTTTATTTGTGATTGTTTTTCCTTTAATTAAACTATTACTATTTCGGCTATCTAATATGCCATCGATGTAACCAAAGAGCAGAGACCTTAATACCAAGTGCTAGTGAACCTGTGCCACAATATCCTGAGAGGATCATACTGCCAAATTATTCAAGAAGACCTGATACGCTGTATATTTACACAATATACATGTGTTAAACAAATAGATACAATTCTGTGAAAAATAGTCAATAAATAATAAGAAGCAAAACTATTGTTTTTATTTTATTCATGATTCCTACCTAACCTAGATTTTCCTATTAGTTATTCTTTAAATCGCACCGAATAAAATGAATTTGTTGTTAATTCACTTCATACTGAGTTCATACTAAGTTCTTCATAGGTTGACCTATGTTTCTTTGAATATTAAACATAACCTCAAAAAAAAATAGTTTTCTTAATAATTTTAGTTCTCAGAAGTGTCCGTCAATAATCTTTATTTTTACAGTCACTTGCAATTTCGAACCTAGAAAATAATATTTCATGATTGTTGGTTCTTAGGCTAACTATGTATGGACGCAGAATAATGTCCTTTGATTAACCATAAAGTTGTCATATTAAAAGTCCAAAATAGCAACATATACACATTGCTTAACTGGATTGTCAATTTTAATATGCCTGCCTTATATAATAAAGATGTGTATTTAAAAGGACATCCGATTTAATTGCAGAATTTGTCATTTTAAAAAGCAGGCGATCGCTCTGAAATCATTTTAATCTATAACTTACCCCCTTTCCATGATATGTTTTGAACTTGATTGTTTCGTATGTTTGAGCACATTACTCATCAAAGAAACCCTCCAGTAACTTCTATTACAAAGGCTAACGATTTGGCCGCGACAAAAAGAGGAGTAGGCAAAGATGAGTGGAGACAATAGAGCACCATAAAACACGGTCCATACTCACATTAATAGCTTGCGCACACGAGGGACTTTTGTACGCGGACTTTTTTGTCCGTCGAAATACATATATCCGTCCGCCGTATATATGCCTGGTCCGCGTGGATTTTTTTCTAGTAATATTTTCTTTAGATTTAAACATCGAGCAGTTACATGCTTAATAAAATAAAAATTATAATTATAATTGCTGTTTGTTCTTTCAAATGTTTAATGCTCGTAAAGCTATTCATTTGACATTGTGGGTTCCTACAATGAAAAAAAGGCTAGAAAGAATTCGACACGGCCATCAGGGCCGCGGTAGCATTATTGGTCAGTGCATTTGCCCGGATAGCGAAGGGTGCGGCTTCGAGTCTCGTCTGCTGCCTGGTCCGCGTGGATTTTTTTGTAGTAATATTTTCTTTAGATTTAAAATACATATTATTATATTCGATTTATAAAGATGGACTCAGTTTCCTCTTTAAAAATGTCTTCTCTTTTTCTTAAACTTCATGTTAATTACAAAGAAAGAAAGACGTTTATTGGCCTAAAAACATTTACAGAACAACATACTTTGAATAAATAAAGAGAAAATCAATAATAAAGCGAAAAATATATAATACAAAATAAAAAAAGGAAAGGCCAATGTAGGTCACTGCCTCAGCCTAAGCTGCTACGACTCTTGGCACAAGGCTGCAGCAGCGCTGATATTCTGGCAGCGCCCCCACTTAATTTTTACAAATAAAAATAAAACAGACGAAACAGACGAGGCCGCGCTCAGCACCCACACGCAAAATGCAACTCCCCACCCCAAGCTCAAGTCCTAACATAGTGATGAACGAGAACCATGCCAAGTCCGACACCAGCCGCACACGTGGCGCGCGCAAGGAACGCAGCCCAGGGCCGCGCTCCACGCCCGCAACCAAGGCGCACCAAAAGCCGAACCCGACACAGCCCCCTCACACCACACGCCTGAACCGAAACGCCCCAGAGCGACAATCTACACCTGGAGGATAGGTACGGAGCGCGGCCCTGATCAGCAAACACGTGTTTGGGTGCGGCCAGAGTGCACTCAGATTCAGATTCAGATCCAGATTCCGAAAACAAGCGCGAGAAATAATAATACAATACAACATAATATGAGAATATTTACTTGCATATATGCGTGCAAGTGCGCTTCAATAAATTTTCATGGGAGAACTGTTCATCCTTTTTTTGTACGATTCAGGTACTTTTGCCCTCTGCGAACAAAAGCCCTTTGTCTGCGCAAGTCATAAAATAAATAATTAAGAAAAAAATAAAGAAGTACCCAAGAATAATACAACCATTACCCAAAAGATAATGACGAGCCATCTAAGCACATATTACTTTTAAAAAATAAAATATCCGTTACCCTAGTATCCCGTAACATAAAGCTTTACAGAGCTTACTTTAAAGCTAGGCTAATCTGTGTGAGTGTTATTAAAATCTTTGGCAGCCAATTGAAAACTAAAAGTGTTTTGCTATTGCTGAACGTTTGAAACGGAGTTCATACAATTATTGACATTTTCCTTAAACAAGCGTTCGTGACTCATGTGTCATACTGATTGCAGCCAGATTGGAAAGTTCTCGCAACATGAAAGCTTGCGGGCTCGCCGTGCTGGGTGGAGCAGGTGACGTCGCCAGCCGGCACCGTGATCGATTGCCCACCCAGCCGCGACCGATATCAAGCCAACTACGGAGCGGTGAATAAACAACTTGCAGCCGAATCGGAACCGGAGGATCCAATACTTGTTACCACAAAAAAGTTGGTCACGAATTCGACATGAGTTCAAGAAAACAATAGAGATGATGACCGGATAAAGTAAACAGAATCCACTAAGTGCGTCAATTAGATAATTCAAAATATAATATTAATAATAAATATTTCCTACACTCACACCAACTTGCCTAGCCGCAAAGTAAGCACTGTAAGGCTTGTGTTATGGCATGCCAGGGTAGGTTCTAAGCAAAAATTGTACTGACGTGACGTCGTGTGACATTTCAAATCAAAATATCTCTGTAGTAATGATTAGATAATAATGTGAATAAAGGAAAAAATACGTGTCCAATGATTTAGGTTAGTCATTATTCCTAGTTTGCCTAAATATAGTTTAAAACAGTTTTTACTATTTTGTAGTACAACTGAATATTTTTATTACATAAATTAAAGTCACATTTATAGACTCGGTTCCAAAAAGAAACAGCTGCAGCATTATAGTTATGTACGACTCTAAAAATGCTAGTAACATTAAACAAAAACAATTTAACATTAAGTAAAAAAGTACGCGAGTAAGCGATAATAACAATCCGATGACAATCTTTTATTAAAAGAAAGCTTCATCATCATCATCAACGTATTAATGTCCCCATTGATGGGGTACAGGCCTTCCCTATGTATGAAATAGAGAGATTGAGCCATGGCTCATCACGTGAGCCCAGTGCGGATTGTTGGGTGCTAACGACTGAAGATGCAGCCGGGAGCAACGGCTTAACGTGCCTTTCAAAGCACGGAGGAACTCGAGATAGAAGATTTTTGGTCACCCATCCAATGACCGACAATTGCGAAATTTGCTTAACTTCAAACTCAAAAGTAATAAAAAATATAAAATTTATATATATACAATTCCTAACTCACACGAAACACTCATGCCAACTAGCCTTGCACTAAAATAAGCTCTGTAAGGCTTGTACTACGTGGGGGCACCGATTTAGACAAACAGGTAAATAGCTATGATTGCTATAGTTACACGTGCTCTTACTAAAGGTTTGCCTCACCGAGATTCGAACCTCGTACCTCTGAGTAGGTGTACACTATACGGAGGTCATCAAATGATTAACTATAATGGCAGCGGGAAAACTTGTACTGAGAAGAACCTGTAAGAAACTCAGCAAGGGCAATCTTTTCCCCTGTTTTGTTTCATACAGTGTCTTCAATCAAAACCTGAAAATATTTTCACGGAAGCCTTTGTGCGGTATAATTATATATTGGTTGTGTTCCAATTAAGTGCATTTCATGCCTAGTCGAGCGCCACGGACCAGCCGAAATAACCCCCAGCCACTCAGTTGATTGGGCGAACAATGATGCGAATGCACATGCCAAACCGATACATAGTTTAAGCAGCATAAGTAGGAACATTATGGGAATCTGCGGCTTCATTATATGATTTAAATCCATGCTAGTCAGTGATTGAAAGAAAAGCTTGGGTTGCGTAAGCTGCTGCAAGAGAGAAAGAGTGTATGAGAGAGCGCCCATCTGGGCCATAGAGAAGACAACAATAAAAATAATACTACCCTTTGGCACA